ATCTGTCTGTGCAACATGCTCCCCACACAGCGTGACCCCACACAGCGTGACCCCACACAGCCATGCTCCCCACATAGCCATGCTCCCCACACAGCGTGACCCCACACAGCCATGCACCCCACACAGCCATGCTCCCCACACAGCCATGCTCCCCACATAGCCATGCTCCCCTACACAGCCATGCTCCCCACACAGCCATGCTCCCCCACACAGCCATGCTCCCCCACACAGCCATGCTCCCCGACACAGCGTGCCCCCACACAGCCATGCTCCCCACACAGCCATGCTCCCCACACAGCCATGCTCCCCCACACAGCGTGCCCCCACACAGCCATGCGCCCCACACAGCCATGCTCCCCACACAGCCATGCTCCCCCACACAGCCATGCTCCCCGACACAGCGTGCCCCCACACAGCCATGCTCCCCACACAGCCATGCGCCCCACACAGCCATGCTCCCCACACAGCCATGCTCCCCACACAGCGTGCTCCCAACACAGTGTGCTCTCCACAAAGCATGCTCCCCACACAGCATTTCTGATGTTCAGGGTACAGTTTCCACACCACAGGATTCTGCAGTTCCCTGCAGGACAGCAGCTGGTTGTCTGACCAATTCTGAGGAAGGACAGGGGTTTCTGTTGATGGGGGAGGGCAGAGCAGGAATTAGGCAGGTGGCTAGCTCCAGTTGGACTGTTGATGGTGGCTCAGGCATCCTAGTGCAAGTCAGTAAAGAGGATTCTTTATGAAAAAGCAAGGAAAAATTTTCAACACTTTTTATGCTACAGGTGTAATACAGGACGGAGGGGTGCTGATGGCTGGAGGAAGTTGCTAGTGCCCTAGTAGAGGGCTGGACCTCAGGTGGGAGCAGCAACAAGACCTCCTTGGTGGTGGGGCCCAAACATTCTCCTCTGACTGCTCTTCCAGTGACATGAGAGACAATGTCTGTGGCAGGAGCAGAGGTGTCTGGAGATGACTGGAAACTATCAGGGGCTGGGAGAAGAAATGGAAGTCTCTTCCCTCCAGGCAGTCTGACAGCCCACACAACGTTGGTGATCATGTGGTCACTTTTGAAAGCTTAAACATTCAATATTTACTAAGAACATCGCCTTAGAATTGTACTGACCTGGGAAGAAATTCAGTACAGATTCTGGCATTGCCCAGTCTGGATGGAGCCAAATGCTTCACCTCTCTCAGCCTCGGTTTCTCCCTCTGTAAATGGGGGTGGTGACTCAATCTCCTGGGCTTGGGGTGTGGGTCTGATGGGACAGTGTGTGTATGGTGGCCAACATAGAACCCAATAGGGGACATGACTGGGCAAGGGGAAAGTATTCTCACCTGCCTTGCAAGACCCTCCCTGCTCACCCCCACTGTGGTCCCCCAGGCTTGCCGAAACCCCCAACACTGCCCTGGGGCTTCCATGTAACTCTCTCATCTCTCTAAGGAGACTCTGAGTCCCTTCAAGGCCACTGAGTCCTGCTCTTCTTGGGTCCCTGTGAGCAGAGTCCCTTATGCTCTCTGAAGGCCACAAGTTGGCAATGTGAATGAGAGCCATGCTCTCCCTTCTGGGAGTCAGGACTGGAGATACAAACTCAAGGGTGAGAAGTTGTGGGGTTCAGGCAAGTGGGCAAAGAGGCAGCCTTGGGGGCCTATGGCTCGGGGCTTTGGGGAGCTCCCTGGTTGCACCCTAAGTGCCTTCCCACAGATATGTGCCCTGGTATCTTGAATATGTTAGGATACCATACTCCCCCACTCCACCCCAAGATGTAAGTGAGAATGGGCAATGCTGTCCAGGCCCCTGGCCCCAGCCTATGAGTAACTGGCAGACCTGAACCTGCTGTCTGGTAAGATTAAGTCTTTCATAAATAAAATAATCAAAGACAGAGAGTGCTGGGGGCGGGGAGAGGGGCAGAGAGGAAACTGTAAATCGATAGTAGCTGACAAGAGAATTTACTATGTGGTCCACGATATTGAAAACAGCATCTCACAGGAGCATAGGGCTGCCATCCTGGGAAGGGGCTTTGGCTCCAGATTAGATCAGCTAGTGATCTCGGAGGTTAAAACCTTTTACTGTCTGGACTGTAACTACCCCGACAACCCATGGTGGGTGCCTGGCCATTTTTGATGCCACTGAATTAAGAAATAGCCCTCCTGGCTCCTGAACCAGAACTCAGGACCTACGCTGCTTTTGATTTGTGAGTGGGGTGATGGGATGACTTTCGATTCATGGTGAGATTTTTTTTTTCCTTGAAAGAAAGCTGCATGAACCTGGGGTGGGAGGCTGGGCTGGGGAGCCTGTCAACTATCCTCTCAGAGTTGATGTCTTTCCAAAAGTATCTGTAAGTCATCATTAGGCCAGACTACTGCTTCTGTGGAGTATCAGCTAGTGCCCTGAAGACAGGGTTCCCTGAGTTCACTTTCGATTCATGGTGAGATTTTTTTTTTCCTTGAAAGAAAGCTGCATGAACCTGGGGTGGGAGGCTGGGCTGGGGAGCCTGTCAACTATCCTCTCAGAGTTGATGTCTTTCCAAAAGTATCTGTAAGTCATCATTAGGCCAGACTACTGCTTCTGTGGAGTATCAGCTAGTGCCCTGAAGACAGGGTTCCCTGAGTTCTCAGCTTGTCCCACCCATAATATCTATCTGGACCCCCTCAGCCCTACCCAAACACTCACTGGTCTAAGTACCCACCACAAGGATGGCTCCTCTGTGAAGGCCATCTAGGTCTGCATGTGGATCAAGAGTGTCTCCTTTGCAAGGGACACAAATCAGCTCATCATGATTTTAACAAAACAGGATAATTTATTGGCTCATACAACTGAAGAATTAAGGGTGAGGCATTCAGGCACAGTGTGATCTAGGTATTCCATGGATGGCGATTAAGGATTGCGAATTGGTTTGATTTTCTCAGGCGTCTTCCCCATAACTTGATTTGCTCTATAGATAAAGGACACCTGAGAACAGTGTGTTGTGTACCCTTAGGTGTCAAACACAAGAGAAAAACCTAGTATGAATCCTCAGGAAAGGATGTGGATGGGGTCTGACTTGGTGCTCGAAGCTGGTGATTTTGCCCAACTCTATGCAGTGGAAAAGGGTTCAGGGAAGCAGGAGTGAGGGGTGAGCACACTGGGGCATGCCTCCCTCATATATAGGCCCTCTGTTAGGGGCAACCACTTGCTCTCTGATCTCAGTATCTAGAGCCTGGGAAGGGAATTCTATCTATGGCACAATCAAAGCTTGCCTGGCCTCCCCATTTGACTAACAGCTGCCTGTAGCTTGGATCTGTTGTTCAGCTCTTCAGCCCAGAACCCAGGATAAGGTTGTGACCATGAGCTTTCAGCAGCATGGTGGGTATGATAGTTAATTATGAGTGTCAATTTTGTGGAATTTAGAACCACCATGGGAACAAATCTCTGGGGGAAATTTTTTAGATGAACTGAGGTGGGGAGACCAACCCTAAACTTTGTGTGGTGCCGTTCCATGGGTTGGGGTCTGTATTAGTTACTTTTCTGTTGCTCTGATAAAACACTGTGACCAAAGGAACTTCTACAAGGGAGAATTTATCTGAGCTTACAGTTCCAGGGAAATTAGAGTCAGTCATGGCGGGGAGGCGTGGTGGCAGGAGGTGGCTGGAGCAGGAGCAGAAAGCAGAGGCTCGCATCTTCAAGCAGGCACAGGAAGCAGAGATCCAGGACTGGAGCTCCAGCAGGCTTAAGAACGCTCTAAGCCCACCCCCAGGGACGTGCTTCCTCCAGCATGGCCACACCTTCTAAGACCTCCCAAAACAGCGCCACCAACTGGGGAAAAATATCCAAACAGGGGACATTCTCATTCAAACTACCACAGGGTCTCAGGCTGAATAAAAAGAGGAAAGCGAGCTGAGCACCAGCATCCATCTCTCTCTGCTTCCTCACTGTGGACACAGTGTGACCATCTGCCTCACACTCCTGCCGCCATGTCTCCCCTCCATGATGAACTGTATCTCTCAAACCACAAGCCAAATGAACCGGTGAGGCAGTACCCCAGTGTTGTGGCTGGGACTCTCAGGGGCTCCCTGGGCACCTGCCCTCCGTAACCTTGGATTTGTTGGGAGATACCCCTAACCCCCATAGAAACGCATCTATTTGTGAGCCACATTCTATTTCTGACCTTTGGGGAGGAGCAGAGCAGCTGTCCCCTGAGGAGTCTGTAAAGGTCCCTCTCACTCTTCTCCCACAGCACATGCAAACATCAACCTCTAGCAGACTCACCTCACTGGATTCTCAAAGCCAAGGTCAAAACTCCTTGTCCCCACCTGTGAGTCCTCTAGAGGAGGGGCGTTAATGTATCTGAGCCAACAACATCTTGATAAATGGAGCCCACATTCTGGACTGGCTGAGGTCCAGGGTGATATGGACCTAGGGAGGGGCACCTCGCCAGCTAGTAGCAGCTGTTCATGATCTGACAGGGTAAGATGCTTGGCCAGCAGATGGATCCAGAGCCAGGGTCTAGTGGTCACCAGAAAGAGATGGGAGTACTCAGACCCAAACGAAATGGCCCACCTCACTGGATTCTCAAAGCCAAGGTCAAAACTCCTTGTCCCCACCTGTGAGTCCTCTAGAGGAGGGGCGTTAATGTATCTGAGCCAACAACATCTTGATAAATGGTGCCCACATTCTGGACTGGCTGAGGTCCAGGGTGATATGGACCTAGGGAGGGGCACCTCGCCAGCTAGTAGCAGCTGTTCATGATCTGACAGGGTAAGATGCTTGGCCAGCAGATGGATCCAGAGCCAGGGTCTGGTGGTCACCAGAAAGAGATGGGAGTACTCAGACCCAAATGAAATGGCCTTCTGTGTGCATTGTTTTTAACTTTTACAAAAACTTTATTGAGAATTTCATACATGCATATAAGGTATTTCGATCAAATCCATGCCCACTCCCTCCCCTCCAACATCCCCCCCTCGAAAAGGTAACCCTAAAATCTAAAATCTTTTAAGGATTAGATACAAGATCCCAAATATTTTGACATTTTTGGCCTTTGGAACAGAGTTGGAATGATACAGAGAAGATTAGTATGGCCCCTGCACAAGGATGACACCTTGCTTTTTTTACATGTGGTCTAGGAATTGAACTTAGGCTCTCATTCTGGTATGGCAAGTACTTACTGACCTATCTTCCCCTGTCCTGTGGGAGATTTTAACAAAGCTTGTTAAAAACTTCCCATTTGATATTTTGCATTTCCTTTCATACCAGCTGCTCAGGCATGAATCATGAATAGGAGATGTGAAGGAGAAGTAAAGGCAAGAGTAATTAGCATTACAAGTTCTCGACAGGGAACTAGAAAAAAGTCAGAACAGGGCAATTTTCAAATGTTCATATGAGAGTCCTTGGAGTTTCTTGACAAGGGCTTCCAAAAGCATCCCTAACAGAATTGTCTCCCCGGGGCTGGTGGCATGGATGTGAATTTCTTCTACCCCACCAGTGTGCTGATCTATCCTCCTCTGAAGATCACCGCAGTAGAGTCAGAATTCCACCTTGGTCTGAGTTAGTGGGTCTGGATTCATCTCACCTGCTTGAATTTGGCAAACCCAGCTAAGGGAGAGGAAATGAGTTTGAAGCAGGGCTGTGTGTCCTGGGGCCATGCCACCCTCCTGAGAGGCAGTGTTGATGGTGGTCATGTGGGTGCAGGCATACAGCTGCAGTCTCACAGTAAACATATCCCAGGGCAGGCAGCCCCTGGGGAAGGGGGACTGTACGCTTCTGCATGTGGACTGGAAACAAGTTGGCTGTTATCAACCAGGCATCTTTTAAGGGCTGTGGAATGGGCCTGTTCGTGGCTCATACCCGTAAACCCTGTGTGCAGTGCCCCAGCTCTGGCAGAGCTTGTTATGCAGAAGACCAAACAAATAATCCTGCTGGACAGCACTTTTTCCAACAAATAGTGAAAAATCAATGACCTTAGGTTTAAGTTAGCTTAAGGGTTAACTTAGAGGGTAAGAGGTATGTATAACCAAGCAGGCCTGGTCAAGGTGTGGTCCCATTCGTCACTGACCCATCATTATTTTGGCTCCAGTCTCTCCTGCAAGGTGGTCTGACAGGTTGTCAGAACTGTGTGAGATCTCTTTTGGGAAAAAAGTTCCCCTCCAGCTGGCACCAGGCTTCAGTCTTTTCCTTTTCCTAGCATGAGATTCCTGGAAGAAATTCCAGTTCCTTGGGGACCATTGTTTCAATAGCCTAACAGCTAAAGGGAGGGCACAAGTGTCTCTAGAATATCCTGGCTCTTGCCAGGATGGTTACAGTGTGGGAAATGCTACTTTCTTCCAAATGTCTGTGGGCAAAATGGGGTCCTCAGATCCCAGGACAGATGACACCCTTCTTGCTCAGCACCAGGCCAGGGCTCCAGGGGAGGGGTCTCTGTGGGGGTAATTATCAGGGGGCAGGGTCTCTCTTCAGCAGCTCTATCATACAGCAAGGCCACAAAGGGCCGCTTCCTCCAGCCAGCTCTTCCCACGGTCTTGAGTGGGTTCCCCAGCTTATCCAGGATGGCCCCAGCACTTCTACACAGGCTCAGGAAGACACACCCGATCTTTGGGGCTTGAGACACCAGAATGCATCTGGCACACTCTGTTTCTCATCTGTGAAATGGGCACAGAGGCTTCTGGTGTCATCAGAGAGGTGCCTCTGGATCCCTGGGTCTGTGCAGCGTTCGTGTCCCCAGGTTTTGTGGCTTTAGAACCCTTAAAAGACTTTGAGGACCCCGGAGGACTTTGTTTATGCAGGCTGTTTATCAAGACCTCTGGGTTAGTGGTGCTGGAGAAATGATCAAGAGCACTTGCTGCTCTTCCAGAAGACCCTAGTGTGGTTCCCAACACCCATGTCAGATGGTTCACAACTGTCTGGGACTCTAGCTCCAGGGGATCAGACATTGTCTTCTGGCATATAGACACACACACACACACACACACACACACACACACATACACACACACATACCTGGGTATATACACACAACCTTGGTCATAAAAATTCATGAGGATACTGCTTTCTCTGGGTAGAGACCAATCAGAGCCTGTGCCACAAGGACTCCCCTGGTGCCCCAGTAGGGCTTGGGGCACTTGTTCTAGCAGATCCAGCATCTCACCCATCCTCCTCCCTCCTCCCACCCGGCCTTGGCTCTGCCACTTGGACATAGCTGGTTCCCACCTCAAAGCCTTTGTACTAGCTATCCCCCATCAGACGGTCCCTTGTCCCCTTATTTATCTGTCAGGGGAAGAGGGGTGGGAAGGAGGAGGGAGGGAGGGAGGGAGGGAGAGAGAGAGAGAGAAGGAGAGAGAGAGAGAGAGAGAGAGGAGAGAGAATTAGTTTTAGAACAAAGGGTCTCCTGAATACAGATCCAGAACCCACAAGAGTAGTGTGTGTGTGTGTGTGTGTGTGTGTGTGTGTGTGTGTGTGTGTGCCCCAGCAGGGGTGGGAAGGGGAGCATCTAGCTCCCAGGGCAGGCAGCAGTCAATCCAGGCTGCCTCTGTATTCATAAGGAGCCAGGACCAAGCTAGCCCTGGTGGTGCAGGCCTCTTAACCCAGCTTCTTGGAAAGCTGAGACAGAGGAACACAAGTTCAAGGCCTGTCTGGGCTCAGAGTGAGTTCAAGGACTGCCTGGGCAACTTAGTGAGACCAGGTCTCCAAATAAAAAAACAGTGGAAAGAGGGCTGGGGCTGTGACTTAGCAATAGAGCACCTGCCTAGCATGTGCAAGGCTTTGGATTCCGTCCCCAGTGTCACAAAAACAACTGAAAGAAGTCGGGCCCTGGTCCCCCCAAGCCTCTGTTGCAGCTGCCCCACCTCTGTGTGGGCTCATGGGTCCTGCTCCCTCCTGTCCCTGACATTCTGAGCCCCTGATGGATGTGGATCCTCACTGCACAGCCATACCTCCTTCTCCCTGCTGTGGGCTTGGGAGGCATGTCTCTGCTCTATTCCCAAATTCCAGCCAGCATTTCAAAAGAAAAAAAAAATCTGGCTTAAGACGGAACATGGGGCTGGAGCCACACAGGCTCTGCGGGCTGGAGGAGGGTCTCTGTGGGAGTCCCAGACTGACAGGGGCTCCAACCCTCAGCTGAGAGGGGGTCTGTGTATAGAGGGACGCAGGCAGGCAGCTCTGTAGAAAGATGTGGAGGAGGTAGGGGCCCTCTGTGAGTAATCCATCTGGGAGTGCTGCTCTGACCCAGGAGTATTTCCCACTAGTAGAGAACTCTGGAAAGAACTTGTTTTCTAGAAGCCTGGTGCCTTGCTCAGCATGGAGCAGAGACAAAGGGCTATGACCAGTGTCTAAAACAAAGAGCAAGGACCAGCTACCCTATGCTCGCCTTCCTCTCACCCAATTCCACTTCCCAGAAGGCTCTAAGAGCCTTGTACCCAGGAATCCATTGTGTCCCTCAGAAGCTGACTACAGTCTTTCCAGAATGTTCCATGCAGTCAGGAACAGGCAGGCATCTGGTGTCCACAGTGCACATCAGAGCAACTGTGCCAGGCCTCCCATAGCATCAGAATGGGGCCAGAGTGCGTCCATATGGGGATGTGGTTGTGGAAAAAATATTTATAAAATGGTTTTTCCAAGTGTTTGATCTACAGCAGATGCAGCTTAAGTTATTCTGTTTGCTTGGCTTTTGCTGTGGGGAGGGGCCACTTCTCTCTGGCCTCCTGGAGCAGAGGAAACAGGCTGTCAAAGATTCTTCTCAATGTGATTCAGCTGGAAAGGTAGCTGTTTGGGTAGCAGGGGGAGCCTGGAGTGGGTAGGGAGGGCGGTGGGAGGATCAGGCTGGGACCCAGGAGAGGGTGCTCTTCAGCCTCTGGGGCTCCTGGGGGTTGCCCACGTTCCCTTCTTCTGTCATAGATGATGGTGCAGTTTTTCCCCCAGAATAATAAACTGGTGGCCACAGTCCCATGAAAGCATCACTCTGTGATCTTACGTACATTTGAGTCACACAGGCTCACACTGACTCCAACTGTAATATTCCTTTGATTTGGGCTAAGGGGAAACAATCCTTTCTTGAGGGTGCTTAACAACATAGAGTTTTCTGGAATGAGAAGGAAGCTACACACTTCTCCAGCACCTGTTTAGTGAGACTCAGCCACCTTATAACAAGGCTCAGAGCCCAGCACCATGGGGCCCAGGTCCAGGCAGCCTCAGGACCTTTGCATGTTCTACTCTCTGCCCTCAGATCACTCAGCTCCTACTGGACAGTTCCACATCAGATCCTCAGTAAAGCCTTTGCTCAACCTCCAAGTCCTGGTAGCCTTCTCTCCCATCTATCTACTCACCCACCACCCTACGCACTCACACACCCACCAGCCTACCCATCCATCCACCCAAACCCATCCATCCATCCATCATCCATCCATGCACCCGTCTTTTCATCTACCCATTTATCCTTCTGCCCACCCATCGCCCATCCATCTATCCATCCATCTGTCCATCTACCCATCCACCGACTTTTCCATCCATCTCTCCATCTACCTACCTACCCATCTACCCACTAATTCACACATTCATCTATCTACTCATTCATCCATTTGTTCCTCCATCTAACTGCCCACTCACCTTCCCACCACATCTATCTCTCTATCCATCCATCCTCCCATTCATTTACCTACCCATTCACCTACCCATCCATCTCTCCACCTATCCACCTATCCATCCATTCCTCCCTCCATTCATTTGCTCACCCGTCTACCCACCATCAGTTCCGCAAGTACATGACTCATGTTCTGCTTGTTGCTTTAACTCAAGTCCAGCATATTTGCTGTTATTTAAGGATTGCAGGATGAACCCTGATATATAAGCTGCCACCACTCTCACAAGAGAGCCTTCTTGGGGGTCACTGGGGGTCAAAAAGGGGGTGGTCTAGGATGAACCAGGCCTGAGGAATAGGACAGATTTAGTTTCAGTCATGCCTTTGCTCTATGACTTTCGTATAACCACCCATACCTCAGTGTGCCATTTATAAAATGGGATCCTCATGGCACCTATCATGGGGTTATTACACCCAAGACTGAGGTTCCAGGCTCTGTGTTTACATGCTCTGTAAACACCAGCCATGCCACAGTCTATAAGGCCCTACGATACATTCTTGA